AAAACAATTGGTTCATGCTTTCAGCTGTGCACTATCGAGTTATGGAGCACGTGGGACGTTTGGAGAGCACTCAAGAAGCTAAAGTTGCCCTCGGCTATCGCCTCGGGCAACTCTTACGCTTCTTTCGTGCTCTCCAAACTTCCCGCGTGCTCCATAACTCGATAGTGCACGCTAAAGCATGAACCAATTGTTAATTAATGCCATTATTGCTTAGCACGACAATAGTTCATCTACATCATTTGTGTGGTTCTGAGAGGAATCTTTATCAGTCTCGCTAAGCTAAATAGAAAAAGTCCTCGCCAGATCTGTTTACTTGTTACGGAAGAAGAATTGAATTCGTGATAGTCTCTGAGTAAATAAAACTTTACAAAGTCCTCCAGCCTTTAAATTTCCGTTTCGCGCCCGACTAGAACTAGAAACGAGACAGCGCCAGCTGCAAGACACTACGTTCATTTGCTATCTTCAACAAGACTCTCCCGTTCATTTGCTATCTTCCTTTACGCCAGGATACTCATTGTGTGATTGTCCACTGTGATCAGGAGCAAAAGATAGCCTTTTAGACTCTTTGATGCGATGCTATTTTCTTATAAATATCTGGTAAAAAATGAGACATGAAGCCAGCTTTCGTGTACTCGGCAGGTGCTTAAATTTTTCCTGTTGTGAATCACTTGTGTCATGAATGATCCTCTTTTGCTTAAGTTTAACTGCGATTGGAAAACAAGGCCATGGATAGCTAAAAACTAGTAAACCTTGTTGAAGAAAATGTTTCACTCAGTTTTTTTTTTAGAATTTGTATACAGCATTTAATTTAATTCGACGTTAAACCCGTTTCCTTATCCTTACTGCTAGAAGATTAGTGGAGTGAAACATGCAGTAAAGTAGACAATCACACGAGTACAGTTTTACCTTCCAAGCAATATATGGGATAAAGAGTCAAAGCGAAGTGAATGAAAGCTTTTTGGGGCTTTTTTTTTTCATTTATGTATTTTTATATAGCATGCAAATTTCAAATTCATCTTTGTTTACCTTACTCAAACAAAGCGCTTAACTTTGAAGATTTACTTGTGCATAGTGAAGATGTTTTTGCTCTTGAAAACGATAAGCAGAAGAGCGTTCTAAACAAAACTATCCACCCACTATTCTCACAACGATCTCTTTAAGATCGATTGGTTTGTTTTCCGAAATTTAATGTTAAAATCGAATAAACGTAATCAATAAAAATAGTCCATACAGAAATTCTCCAGTCTGTCTTACGGTTATTTACGAATTTCAATAGTTTTATATCAGGACTTCAGACCGAAAAACTTTCCTCGGCATTCATACATTTCTAAAGTCGTTTTTAAAGACATTTAGTAGTGATGAATGATCGTTAATTTCTCCATATATATTGGCGGAGTATTAAAACATAATCATTGTACTAAACTTGGCTTTCATATCAAGATGGATTCGTCTTGATATGAAATATGGCAGGCTCTAAAGTCCATGGCCCAATATGCATCGGGACACTAGAACGGAACCAGAAGTGCCTAATACTACAATTATCTGCCCTAGAAAATGACAAGCTATCGAAACAAACTTCTTATTCTGTTTCACAGAGCGATAAAAGAGTTCTGACATAGCATTGTTACAATAATATCACAGACATCAACGGTTTCTTTTTGTTAACTATTAATACCAATATTTTACATAATTTCAACTTTAGGTAATGAGATAAACAGACGGTTGGAGCCAACACGCAACTGTTCAAGAGTAAAGCCGCAGTAAAAATAATCCATTTGCAGAGAATTTTCTGGTGGAAGAACTGCTAAGTAAGACTTAAAGTGATCTTCTCATCTCGTACCCACCACCGTGTTTTTTAATAGGACAGTGAATTCAATATGGGAATTGTAAAACTTGAAAAAAAAAATAATTAGCTAAAAAACGAAATGAATAATTTAGCATTAGATAACA